GTTAATCTAGCCTGACCTGAAGTCGATAAAATAATAACCTTAAAAGGTTAAGTCTTCGAAGATTGATACCTATAGTAATTGCATTTGGGTAGTGCTATAAGGAAAGGTAGAATTTTATTGTTGAGATCTATGAATAGCCAATTTTATTACATGTTCCGAGGGTGACATAGAATATGCCAACGATATTTTGCCTTGCAGGTATTATTTGCCCCCGAATGTCTAACCACTTGGTGTGGGTGACCTTTGCCAAAAATCGAGGGCTTAAGAGCTACCTGATCTGGATCGAAGGCGGCCAATTGGGTCTTCAGTCGAGTATATGGCAATTGATTCTCGGTCACTGTAAAGTTGGTCGGCCCACTAAGGTCCTCGGCAGCGCCGACGGCGTCCCTACCTAATGTTGATGGCATTGTAAAAATGGGCGCGTTGTCGTTCTCGTCGAGTACATCAATTGAAACAGTAGTGGTTGCAGTATTCACGGGAGGTAAAGATGAATCAGTGGCTAGGATGATAAGGGTCACATGAGCGACGCTTTCCCGGTCCAGTGGGATCTGTATTGCAAAAATTGAAAGAACAAGTAAAATGAAAAGTTAATGATATGTCAAGTCTCATAAATACGGAGGTAGTAATGGTATAATAGTTTAATGAAGATCAAGAATACGATTAGACTCTCAGAAATGGAGCAGGCAATCTGATTTCATCAGTGCTATTAACAACGCTGGATGCAAAAGATTCCAATGAACCTTGCGATAATTAAAAAATTAATCATGCATAGGCAAACAAAGTGTGTATGTGTACATAAATCAAAAGATTAGAAATTTAGATGTAAATTACTTTAGATAATTATTCGCAAATTCGCCCTCTTTCTCTCTCTATCACTCTCTCTCTTTATGTATCTATATAGGGGATAAAAAACTATTTAAAACCAGGAGATTTAAGGGCAGCTACGATAGGAGTCTGGATAAAGAAATGGTTAATGATGATCATAAAGTCATTAAAATAGCATTTTACAACATATTGTGTACTTAGCTAAAATGACAAAGGAATCGAATAAATGGCCCATGAATTACTGAGGTTATAATAGATTAAGCTACATCTTTAATATTCACTATAAAATTTGAAGACTCAATCGGTGTGAATAACTA